CTATAGAACCCGGTCTGTCCTGCTATTTACCCATAGCGGAGGGTTGGAGAAGAGAATTCATACCTTTCCCAAGGGTATTAGCACGGAAGTGAATAGCAGTCAGTTATGTGCCATGCATGATACACGCTTAGACAGTCTTTCGATACATGACTGACGAGGCAGAGTTTTTTCCCGCAGTAGGTTGCCATTTCTTTTTGCGGTACGCCAGTTGCCATTCAAGGTTATAGAAGCTGTTCTGTCCTGCTATTTACTAATAGCTGGTGGGGGGGGGAGAAGAAGAGGATTCATACCTTTCCCAAGGCCCTTAGCACGTAAGCGAATGTAATCGATTCGAGTGGAATTTGAACTCGGCTCTCCGATTCCTCAATCCGAGCCGCTATTTACGGATCGATAAAAACCTGAAGAAGGCGAAAGGAACAAATGGCCGAAACGTCGTGGTAAAAGCTGTGGGCAATATAAAAACGTGTAAATAATCGTAACTTGTCTTTCGAGAAATTCAGGCAGAGAAGAAATTCTATGAGATGATAAGTCAAACGAAAAACCTAAGTTGTTTCAATCAGCTGCTGCTGATGATTCGTTCTCTGACGCAGTTCGATGTTTAGAACGCGAAGTCGTCGTCTTCGAGTGACAGACTTCCAATAAATATCGGTTCATGCATTTTTGTGTGCATGTTCGATAAATCCAGCGAATGTCATATTGACCCAAATCAATAAAAGTAGCGGTCAGAATATTTTTTTTTTTTTTTGCTTGTTGAAGTGAGCAAGATCTTGGTGGACTCAGAGGGTTTCATCGTCTCATTTCTAGCGTTACCCAAGATATATGGAGTTTAACTCCTGGGGATTTCTGACTTATCTGCTGCCGATGTAACGTGTCAGTGCCAGGTGTGGGAGACATTGTAGGTGTGAAAAAAATTGCCTTAGGTTTTACTGGCCTTTGTTTAAGTTTCAAGCAGAGACACCATGAACTAAATGACTGCTGTGAACAAAAATAAAAAAAAAAATTTAAAAAAATCCCAAGCACCATTTGTGTGTGTACGATTCAGGTAAACAAAATGAAGCTACCAAGCTCGTATGGTCAATATTAATTTATTTAGAGGGTGGTGTTGGATCATAAAAACGCACTCCTCAAAGAAAAAAAACGAAATACTCACCTGCTTATTGGAATATTTGTGTGTTTGATATAAATCATTCTTGCTTACTCAGCACAAAGCCAAACGAACTCAAATACAACAGCACGGTTTAGTTTAAGTGTTTGGGTTTATTTTGTTTTACGGCATATCAACACCTCAATGGGTTATTTAATGCCGACAAAATATATAGGATAGATTCGTATGAATAAAATATGTATTCTTTGGAAGAAATCAGTTTGTAGATCAGGTTTCATTGACGCATTTTTGGGAATGGGTTTATTTTTTTATGGCATATCAACACCTCAATGGGTTATTTAATACCAACAAAATATTTAGGATACTTTCGTATGAATATAATATGTATACTTCGTAAGAAATCTGTTTGTTAGAGGTTTCGTTTAGTTTGGTTTATTTTGTTTTACAGCACATCATCACCTCAATGGGTTATTTAATGCCGACAAAATTTTTTAGGAGGATAGGTTCGTACGAATAAAATATGTATACTTAGCAAGAAATCAGTTTGTAGATCAGGTTTCATTGACGCATTTTTGGGAATAGGTTTATTTTGTTTTATGGCATATCAACACCTCAATGGGTTATTTAATGCCGACAAGATTTTAGGAGGATAGGTTCGTATGAAAAGAATATGTATAATTCGCAAGAAATCAGTTTGTAGATAATGTTTCATTGAAGTATTTTTGTAAAGAGATTTTTTGTCAAGTGCCTTGTTTCATTGATGGATTCTTTTCAGATTGGTTTGGTTTATTTTGTTTTACGGCATATCAACACCTTAATGGGTTATTTAATGCCGGCAAAACATTTAGGATAGATTCGTATGAATAAAATATGTATTCTTTGGAAGAAATCAGTTTGTTAGAGATTTCGTTTGGTTTATTTTGTTTTACAGCATATCAACACCTCAATGGGTTATTTAATGCCGACAAGATTTTTTTATTTACATATTTTTGTAAAGAGGTTTTTTGTCGAGAGTCTAATGAATTGCTGGTAATTTTTTTCAAAAATGTATTGCTGCTGAGTTTACTATAAAAACCTATTTTTATACTTTAATAGTTTTTGATTCCACTTTAGTGGTTAACTATTTGCCCATAAATGGGGCACTAACAGGTGCTACCACCCCGGGTCAGGGCGGACCTGGCAACAACTGCAATTAAGAGGTGACCACACCCTTCTCAAAACCTCCCGATCATATTAACTGTTAACAAGAAATATAATAGCACCATCTACATGCAAAAAAAAAAAAAAAAAATGTAAAAATAATGGAAGTAATGGAAAACAAAAGAACCAACACTCAATAATATCATCTATGAACATGGACATAATATCCTGACCGTGTTTTGAATATGAAAACATTATAAAAATATAGGGACCTCAGATTTTTAGGCATAAATTTTCGATACCTGAGGTTTAAAATTAAATTTTAAAAATGAAAAATCTTCCTTGAAGTTTTCATTTTAGCTTTAATTGAAAGTTTAATAATTAAATTTATTAGTTCCATTAAGTAAAATATTCTGGTGTATTTCAGATAGCAATTATATAGATTGGAATGTCGAATTTGATTTCGATTTCTTAAAATTTTCTTAAAAGCGACCATTTTCTTAATTTTAAGAAATTTGTTAACAAAACAAGTTTTTTTTATTTCAAAATTCTTTCAAAAAATAAATATATATTTCTGACACGTTATTTTAGTCAAATAAGAAAATTTAAAGTTAAATTAATCCGATTTGAAATAAATATTACTTATAAAAAAAAATAATATACAACCAATTATTAACGATTGGTCAGGTTCATCTGATTCAACGTTTGATAAACTGCTGGTAGACGAAGAGGTGACAGCTACTATGGATGACCCAATTGTCAAAATTCTAAGTGAACGCATATTTTTGGTTTTTAACTACCTAGTAAATTTTACAAATGAACATATTTTCCGCAATTATTTAATATTTTATTGACTTTTATTTATCTTTCGATGATGCAAAAATAGAAAAATAAAAATACTATAAAATTTTCTTCAATTAATTTTATAATTTATTAACAAATGAAATACCATGATTACTCAAGTGAAATATGTCCCACACTAATGTGAATACATAAAATAAAAATATTTAGCGAAATAGTAATTGAAAAAAGTAAAACTTAGTTTAAAATTTAAACTTTTAAAGCTGGATAGAAATTTTGAAAACCTGTTGAAACGTAACTGAAGCGAATAATAATAAAGGGACAAAACTTTTAGATCATAATAATGGCAATTTCAGTCTACTGTACATGAAAAAAATGAACGTATTAAGTAAAAAAATACAAAATAAAAATTATTTTTAAAATAGAATAGCTCAACTAAGTTGATTAATCTTTTCAATTTTGGATTTATAAATTTTGTTTCCACTTAATTACTATATCACATCCAGGAAATAGCCCAGTACAGAATTTTACACGATTTTAAATTATTATAAATTATTATAGTTAAAATTTTTTAAAAAAGGAAAAAATTCTTGTATAACTTCATTATTAATCAGAAAAATTTCATTTCTTCAGACAATAATGTCCTTAATATTACTTATTTACAAAAGCAATTAAAAGCTTTTCTAATTAAGTAATGTCATAGTTTTATTGGATTCATTATTTTTCAATTCAGAGCAGATTTTCAGTTAGAATAGTGCAAGTTTGAAAAAAAATGTAGGTGATTTACAATCTCCAAGGACTTCTACTTTTAACAAAAAAAAACAAATTTCAGGGAATAGAATGGTTTTGTGCGAAATTTCATGAAATTAAGTAAGTGGCGTGGGGGTTAACATATTTGAAAAAAAAATTACCAAAATTTTCTAAAAAAAATCATTTCAAAAATAATTTCATTCTTTTGTGAATAAGTCCTGAAAATTCCATTAAAATCAGACAAGTACTTGATTTTTACAAGAATTTCCAAATCAATATTTTTTCAACGGAAAAAAAGTGCAACAAAGTCTGTTATTTTCTGCCACCGTGATGACGTAAACAAAAGAAGATTTCAACCAAAATTTCGAACGTGTTAGAAAGGATTAAAACATTTCAAAAAATAATTAAAAAATACTTTGGTCTTTCATCTTAATAATAACATAAACATTATGACGATAAAACTTTATTTTCATTAAGTTTGTGGCCTTTTTCATTACGCTATGCCGTTTTCCACGAAAAAGAGAAGGAGCTTATATAAATATATATATATATACAACAAATTATTTCTTGTTAACAGTTAATATATTTCAACCTTGAAAATGGCTGAATGTATAGCCGAAAGCGCTCGGATAAAAAGAACAATTGGACAGTTTTTATATAATTTATGATCCGAAAAGAAAAATGATTATATAAGAGAAATTGTAAAAAAAAACTAAATGAAACAACTTGTCTGCCGCATCCAATGATATATATATATATATAAAAGAAATATGTTGTAGTGGTTCCAACGAGAGAAAAGTATGTATATTAAAAAGAAGACAGGTGCCGCAAACGTTTTTGGTTGTAATGTGGATTTATTTAAAAAAAATATTATGCTTTTTTACATAATTTTTAGAACGTGTTTCTGGTCTCGCGACCGTCTTCAGGTAAAAGTGGAATTTCTACATATTATTAAAATAATTAATTTTTCTTCATGTTCAATGTTAAATATTCTGAAGACATTCTCTGTTTGTGTGTTGGTAATCGAATTTCTTTAAACGTGTCGTAAAATTATGTAAAAATCTCATAAATATTTTTTTTCTAAATAAATCCACATTATAAACCAAAAAACGTTTGTGGTCCTCTTTTCTTTATATATATATATATATATATATATATATATATATATATATATATAGTTTATGAAAAACTAGGTAATCCGGCCATGGGTAAACCTAAGGAGGATAAAATCTATCTATCTATCTATTTCAGTCTGTTAATATCTATCTATCTATCTATCTATCTATCTATCTATCTATCTATCTATCATTCATTTATCCATCCTACAAATGACTCGATATATCAACATTTTCCCATCGTTGCCATCCATTTTAATTCTACATCATCTATTTATAAGACAGGAATAATAATTTGCTTTCAGCCTCTACATTCATAGGCGTTATTGTTGAATACACATCGGCCCTTTCAAAATATTTGCTTAGATAATTCATCCATTCTTCAAAGGCAAGCCAATTCGTTGACTTAAAAATAAATGGTCCCTGTGGATATGCACGTGTCTTCCAGAAAAAAAGTCTTTCTCTTCCTTCTCTTTCTCTACTCACCTCTCTCTATCTCTCTCTCTTCCTCCCCCGTCTCTCTCTCTCTTCCTTCCCCCTGTCTTTCTCTCTTCCTCCCCGTCTCTCTCTCTTCCTCCCCATGTCTCTCTCTCTTCCCCCATCTCTCTCTCTTCCTTCCCCCTGTCTCTCTCTCTTCCTCCTCGTCTCTCTCTCTCTTCATCCCCCTGTCTCTCTCTCTCTTCCTCCCCGTCTCTCTCTCTTCCCCTGTCTCTCTTCCTCCTCCTGTCTCTCTCTCTTCCTTCCCCTGTCTTTCTCTCTTCCTCCCCGTCTCTCTCTCTTCCTCCCCATGTCTCTCTCTCTTCCCCATCTCTCTCTCTTCCTTCCCCTGTCTCTCTCTCTTCCCCTCGTCTCTCTCTCTTCATCCCCCTGTCTCTCTCTCTCTCTCTTCCTCCCCGTCTCTCTCTCTTCCTCCCCCGTCTCTCTTCCTCCTCCTGCCTCTCTCTCTCTTCCTTCCCCATGTCTCTCTCTCTTCCTCCCCCCATCTCTCTCTCTTCCTCCCCATGTCTCTCTCTCTTCCCCATCTCTCTCTCTTCCTTCCCCGTCTCTCTCTTCCCCCTCGTCTCTCTCTCTCTTCATCCCCTGTCTCTCTCTCTTCCTCCCCGTCTCTCTCTCTTCCCCCCCGTCTCTCTTCCTCCTCCTGTCTCTCTCTCTTCCTTCCCCTGTCTTTCTCTCTTCCTCCCTCGTCTCTCTCTTCCTCCCCCTGTCTCCCCCCCATCTCTCTCTCTCTCCGTTGTAATTTTCCTGTCTTTTATTCTATAAGCCTTGGGCGATAACCTTTTCCTCAGCGCAACTAAATGGAATTGCTATCACGAAAATAGGCATTTTACACATGTGATCATGTAAATGTTCAATAAAGAAAAGAAAGGCAAATTAAATGAAAAGGAATTTTTATTTCTTTATGATCATCATTATCATCATTAATTTAATTATCATCATTATCATCAGTAATTTAATTTGGCATTTTAAAAAGAATTTAACATTTTTAAAAATCATGTTCATAAAATATTATTACTTTATTTAAATACCACCATAAAAATAATATCATTACTTATTTTATATTATAATTCGATTTTATTTTCATTAATTGTTTTTTTCTTTTAATTTTGGTTATTTTTATCATTATTATTTTGTATTTATTTTCTATTTATGATAGAATCATTTATTTTAATTGATTTATTTATTTATTTATTATTATTATTATTATTATTATTATTATTATTATTATTATTATTATTATTATTGTTGTTGTTTTATTTGTTGTTGTTGTTTTTTATTTCCTTTTATTTCTGGCGTGCACATTTCTTTCCGGGTCCCCACCCAGAGACCTAAGGTTAGAAATGACATCATGACATTTTCCACTGAAATATATATATATATATATATATATATATATATATATATATATATATATATATATATATATATATATTACATAGATAAAACCCTTCGTAAAGTGTGGGCTGGACTTGTGAGAACAATTTTTGTATCTCTTTGAGGCATGGACTTCAGGAATCCTTCAATTAGTCTACTGGAATCTTTTCCAACTTTACAACTAGGGCTCCATCTACAACAGGGATTGTTGATGTTCCTATTATTATTATTATTATTATTATTATTATTATTACTTCCATTGGTTTCTTGTGTGTACATATTTCTTTGCGGGTCCCCGACCAGAGACCTTAGGTCAGAAATGGCATTATGACATTTTTCCACTGATTATTTTTGTAAACAAAAAAAAGTGTGAGTTCAATACCCGGTTAAGGCAGTTGAGAACTTGGAGCGGGGAAATTAACAGGAGATAACTGATGGCTGACATCCATTAGGCATGGCACGTGGGACTAGAACATTCTACCCCAGTCAGCGAAATAAAGGGTTCAGTTCGACATTCCAATCACCTGAAGAAGGCCGGAGCGTACAACGGCCGAAACGTTGTAATAAATATGGCGACAAAGATGAGGACAATAGTCCGAATAACGTAAATAGTGAAAAAAATCAAAGAAAAAAAAAAAAAAAAACTAAGATCATCCACATTTTACACAGATAAAGCTCTTCGTAAGGTGTGAGCTGTACTTGTGAATACAATTTTTTGTATATCTTTAAGGCACGGGCTTCCAAGAATCCCTTCAATGAGTCTATAGTAACCTTTTCTATTGAAACCGAGAGAATACTACTACTACTACTACTACTGCTACTACTACTACTCCTACTAATAATAATAATAATAACAATAATAAATATTAGTCAGTAATAAAGGAAGCCAAGAAGTTCAAAATGGAGTTTCAAATGGTTGAAGAAATACAAGGAAAACATAATGCACCGACTGAAGCTGCAAAATACTTAAAAAAAGAAAGCAAAGGCAAATGCAACCGACCAGATACAGAGACGATGGCAAGATCAACCGCTTTTTAGGAAATACAAAATGTCGATTGGCATAGCATTTAAATTTTTGAAGATCAAAGTTTACTGGACAGCAAGAAACCGTAAGAGAGTTCCACAGGTGAGAAATTCGAAGGAAGAAACTATTAGCATAGAACTTGTAGTTACATCTTGCCATTTCAAATATATAATGATGAGACCTACCTGCCAATAGAGTACTGCGCTTAAATTCGTAAAGTCGAGGCACCAACAGTAGAAAGCTCATCAGAACAATTATCATGAAAATATTTATCGAAAAGCCACAAGGAAGCTACGTTATGGTGGTGGGAAAACGGCTGAAGCCGGGATGCAAGGTCAGGACCGAAAACATTGCAGATTCTTTGAATTTTATCAAAAATATCTAAATACATGGCAGATGCACCAGATGTTTAATGCATGAATATCGAGTGGCAAACTTATAACGTCTTTTATTACATCTGGTCTATTGACTTGTATTGCTGTTGTGTATGGTGAAGTCTCAAAACACTGTACCCTTTTTCCCTTTCATATACTGGTAATAGTTTCTATTGAAACTATTTCTACACATGTGGAAGGTTATTATGTTAACATATCTTCTAATGCATTTATTTCCCTAACCTATTTGCTCAATGGAATAAGATAGAATATGTTGTTATCTGCAAGAGAAATGGCCAAAAATGGAAAAGACTATGGTGTTGACATACCTTCTAATGCATTTATTTCCCTAACCTATTATGTTTATATTTAAATTCATTTGAGGGCTAGGATAGAACACCTTCACATTAGATGGACAATAGCTTCCTTCTCATTTCTTTAAAAGCAACATTTTGAATTGCTTCCATTGATTAAAAATATTTACCCGGTAGGATCTTGTTAGCAGGTTTTGATCTTGAGTGGTTAGATTTGGAATTTGACAATGTTTTTCTTAGAATTTAGTTGAACTCTGTTGCACCATATATGGCTTATCTTTCTCTCGGTGTTAATTTAGATTTAACATAATTTTGTATTAATCTCCTGGTAGTTTTTGTAACATCACATGAGAATATATTGATATTTGGTTGGTATTTTGGCATTTTGCATTGATTGGTATTAGTTATTAAAACTTTATATAAAGAATCTTTAGTCAACAATTCCATACTAATTGACCAAGTAAATCTATAGATTTAAATTATTTACTGGTTTCTTGAAGGAGCTATTTATTTATCTTCTAGAAAAATGGTTTTTATGTAGGATACTCACAAAACATATAACTTGTCTGTCATTTTGTTAGAATACCAGTTCATTTTTCTTAGGAAATGACATCATCTAAATGCACAATATCTATCGATTCACATCCGCTCCTGTTTAACGTTTATTGATGTCATAGAGTTCAAACTTACGGGTCATGACCCATTTATGAAAATAATTTCTTAAGTTTTACTTCTTCCCTTAGTTTAAATTCAACGTAGGTCATATTTGATTGGTTGATTCAAGCAAAACCCACCAATCTTATAACAACCTCACTCGTTTCTTTTTTCGTAAAAAAAAAAAAAGAGGTCGTATTTTGCTTTTAAATCCGATTAAATCGTTCAGTAGCCATCAATTTACAATCACCTGATGAAATGCGTTGTGTGCGCATCGAAACACGACTGCAATTGTGTCGCGATTTGGACATGTTCTCGATTTAATATATATATATATATATATATATATATATATTGTTATGGGGTCCTCCCCTTTTTCATATAAGTGGACTCTACCAGTGTTACTTGGACTACTGCCCAGAGTTAGACAGTCAGTGAGAGTGAGTAGAGATAGTAAGAAGACTGAGATTGTGATTGAGTTGGAGGTAGAGTAACAGTGTGAGGTAACCGCTTGTAGATGTCAGTTACAAGCACGTAGACTCGAAGGAAGTCCTACTTCGAGACTGTATATATATATATATATATATATATATATATATATATATTATATGCTACTAACCATACCTTCCTGGATTTACTAACAGTATTACTCATTTTATTCTTCTGTAAATACATTTAATTTCTTATCCTTAATTCTTGCATTTGTCATTCTTTGGAGACCGAATTTCATCTCGGAATCCACAACATACATACATACACACACACACACACACACACACACATACATACATACATACATACATACATATATATATATATATATTATAAATTAACCGATTAAAATATGTTTT